TGGGGCCGGTCCAAAGGCCTCGGGGGGCCGCATCCGGCCCCCAGGCCTACCCCTCTTTTATACCAAATGGATTTATACATGTAGTAGATGGACTTCTTCATGGTCACAGAAAGCCCTTTCTTTTTTAAAAATATATTTTTAAAAGATTTCAGAAAACTGATTCACTAATGCTTGGGCAGAAAATAAAGGAAAAGGCTACACTCTTCAGCCCTTATTCATGAAGAAGGCCTACTGAAATGAATGGGGCATATTTTGAGTAGACTTCCACAGGTAGGCTTGCATGATAATATGTGTTCCAGATGAAATGAACTTAAATAATTCAAAAAGTCAGGAGAAAAGGGATGGAGAAAAGGGATGGATAGCCACAGGGTATAAGAAAGTGGTCAGTGAGAAGTTGTGATTGCATGGGAAATAAAGACAATCAATCAATCAATCATTAGGCTAAATGCTACTCAAAAGGTGTGTCTACACTGTAGAAATAATACAGTTTGAGATCACTTTATGAGAGCTCCATCCTACCTGTCCTAGTATTTGTACTTTTACTAGGACGTTAGTTTTCTCTGCCAAAAAGTGCTGGTGCATTACAAAACCATCAAACCCAGGATTCTGTAGGAAGGAGCAATGACAGTTAAAGTGGTGTCAAACTGCATTATTTCTATAGTGCACTCAGATACTTAGCCCAGTACAAATTACCACTTGGATATAAATTGAATGTTCTGGAGTGAGTCTAACTGAAATGGATTCATGTGGATGATACTTATTCAACTATTTTACACTGGTGTGTGGCAAAAAAAATTCCAGTATGTTGATGCCTGAACCTCCACTTTTGGGTTTTTTTCTCATATCACTATACTGATCTTCAGTCACTTGGGGATTATAATTTTTACTCCATTCCCTAGACCACATTTTGCAAGGTTTATCCATTTTCTTAAGTGCTAGAAATAAATGAAAATACTGACAAAGATTAAAAATTCAGGAGCAGCTTTAGTTTCACCTATTACATTTTGAAGTTCAAATTTAAAGTGAAAAAAATATTCATACTTTACCACCAAACTGAATTTTGTATATCTTGAGCTCACTCACACCTTTCAGTTCTGATTTTGCCAGGCATTAGATATGAAAAGTCATGCTTTACCCACTGTCTAATTTCAAACTGCATCTTTCCTGTTCACTAAAGTCAGATACTAAATGCCATTACATGTCATTTACCAAATACTAGAATACCATTACTGTGTGTTCTATCAAATTGTGTAAAGTATCTGCTAACCAGTGGTAGGCAACCTTTCCCCTTTAAGGGCCGAGGGACTTCAGCTCCCAGAAGCCTCAGCCATGTGGGCCAATAGTCCCATGTTGGCCAATAGCTCCTGGGATTCTGGGAGCTGAAGTCCCTCGGCCCTTAAAGGGGAAAGGTTGCCTACCCCTGTGCTAATCAATAGGAACTAGCAAAATCAAATGGGATCAGATGACAAGTACAAATATCAAATATTCAATAAGTATTTGATAAGCATTTGAAAAATATCTAGAGCAGGGGTAGGCAACCTAAGGCCCGGGGGCCAGATGCAGCC